TCCACTCTTTCACGACACAGCAGGCTCAGCATCCTTTCTGTGAAGTCTGTACACATCACTCAGAGTAAGGGGCCTACGGGAACTGGTGAGCACACGCTGAGGCCTCCACACTCTGCACGTTGCCACCCTCCACCCCACTGCCTCCAGGACTCCTGCCTCTGGGCCTTTACATTTGCTGTTCCCCATGCTTGGAAAGCCTTTCCCCCAGATACCACTGAGGTGCCTTCATTTCCTTCAGGCTTCTGCTCCAATGCCACCTTCTCAGGTGAACACTTGACTACTCACCCGGTATAAAATAATACTCCCACTCCCTTTTTCCATGTTTTTTTTTCTCTATATTTTTATCACCATCTAAACTATCTTATATACTTACTTGGTTATACGGTCTCTTCCCCAACACTAGGGGGAAAGCACCCCAGGGGTATTCTGTTCACGGGTCTCTCCCAACCGCATAGCAGGCACTCAATAAATATTTGTCGAATAAAAGGCTGAATGAACGGTGTCCTCTAAATCAGCTTAGAAAATGGGACTCTCCCGCTTAATGGGCCCTGCTCTATGCCACCATCTACGTAAGCAAGTTTCTTTAATCCACACTAGCCGTGTAAGCAGCTCACCAACTCATCTTAATGTGCCGAGGCTGAAAAGGGCCACACCTGGGTGCAGATCTGAGCCCATCTGATTCAAGCCACATTTACACTGAAAATTACCAGCTCACATCCAAAGAGGAGCTTCACACAGAGAAATCATTTTTAAAAATAATAACACCCTCTTAATGTGTCCTCCCCCCCAACCAGGTTCACGACTACCTCCGCAGCAAGCTGTGCTCCCTCTACGAAAATGACTGCATTTTTGATAAATTTGAATGTGTGTGGAATGGGTCAGACAGGTAAGAAAGGTCTGTGTGGCTGGGAACTTTCCAAAGGTGGCCCCTCTCCTTGCGAAGGCCCTGGGCTGTGTATCCTAAGCGGGATGCAACCAAAGGGAGATCAAAGTCGGCCCCGAGGCCTGGCAGAGACGCACTGTGTGGACCACTGGATGACCCTTGAGGCAGGCCTGGAAAGGAGGGGGGGGATGAGTGACACCCTTGAGTCCTCTTTCAGGACTGGCTCGGGTGACCACCTAACCTCAAGAAAATCCTACCTTGTACACACAAGACACTCCCAGAGCTGGGTCAACGTGCCTAAAATGAAGCTCCACCAGCAAATTTCCAGCATGAATAGTTCAGATGACCGCACAGTGTGCTTTCTAGATGGAAAATTATTCCTTGAAGCTGCCAGTACAGACCTGGCCAAAGGCCCTGGTGGTTCAGTAACCGGATTCTACTTGGCCTCATTTATCACATGTCCTGAAAGTGATTCATGACTGTTTTAAGGCCTTTGATTTCAACAATACTTCCTATTACCTCCCCATAGTTTCCTTTTGGTTTGACAAATATTACAGATGACCCTCTGATTTCCAAGAGAAGTAAGCACAGGCTACCAGGGGCTGTTCCTCAATGAAAGCGGCACCAGCAGTAGTGCTTGGAAGCAGGGAAATTCTATCACGGCAAAGCACTCGGAGAGTCAAGCTCTTAGTGAGCGCACTAAGCCTTGTTGGGCTTTTTTTTGTCAGTGATCCAAAATCAGCCTTCCACTTAGGCCTGGAAGGAATCACCACGTGGCAGAGGACGCATGTCACACTGCCCAGTTGGTAGAGGGCAGAGGGCAGAGCAGCTGTGACATAGTAACAAAGGCCCTCGAGGGGAAAAGAAGCTAGCCCAGCCCTATTATTTTATTTATTTTCATTTACAGCTGTCATTTATTCACTGTTTATTAAGAATAGGGTTTTTTTTAGATATTTGTGGTTGTTTGTTATTATTGTTCCAGTGTCCCTCCTATCTTAACCGAGATTCAAAAACTGTACTTACTAGGTACTTTCACACACATCATGTTTTTTTAATCCCGACCACAATCCATCGAGATCGTTTTCACCATCCCCATTTTCCAGCTGAGGAAACGGAGGCTCCGCCAGATAAAGTAATCTGCCCAAGCTCATGAACTAGTAAGCAGTAGAGACAAGAGGAAGAGTTTGAATCCTGAAATCAGCATGCTTTCCACCACATTACAATTTCTTTCCATAACTGAGAAAATGTTATTCTTGGTCCAGATAAGGTTGAGATTATTTTCCCAGAAAAGACTTTCTCTTACTGTTTAAAAACAAGCCGAGTCGGGCTTCCCTGGTGGCGCAGTGGTTGAGAGTCCGCCTGCCGATGCGGGGGACGCGGGTTCGTGCCCCGGTCCGGGAAGATCCCACATGCCGCGGAGCGGCTGGGCCCGTGAGCCATGGCCGCTGAGCCTGCGCGTCCGGAGCCTGTGTTCCGCAACGGGAGAGGCCACAACAGTGAGAGGCCCACGTACTGCAAAAAAAAAAACAAAAACAAAAACAGAAAACAAGTCGGGTCATGGTGAGGGAAGCAAAGGTCAGTGCATGGGAAGCAGTGAGGCCAAGTGGCTGAATGCTTGTGCCCCAGAGTCAGGCAGATATGGGCTGGAGACCTGACTTGGCCACTTATTAGATGTGTGACACCGTACAAGTCACTCACTTTTCCTCCTGTGTAAATCCCTTACATGGGATGAAGGAAGAGTAAATGAAGTCCGGGGTAAAGCACTCAGCACCCTGCCTGATGAGGTAATAATAGCTCGCTCTGTGTTCTCCCATCCTAACCAGCCAGTCAGAGCCTCACCCACAAACAAGGCCATGCCCACCTCTCCAGGGGGCAGCCACAATGGGACGCTACTTGATATCTTTCCCTCAGCCTGTCATCTTGTCCAAACTGTCACCATTAAAGAGTCAGTCCATTGCTTCTGGAAGGCTCTGGCATTCACTGCTCTCTTAATCAATTGTAGATATGCCTGAGCATGGATAACTCTTGTAGAAAGGTAGAAACCATCTGTCAGTCCCCTCAAAGGCTTACTTCCTTATCCTACATCCTTTCAGAATTGAATTTTTGTTTACTCCCTTCCCGAGTGAGACCATGATGGCATCTAATTTTCTGGAAAAGGCTGAATTTAGATCTAGTTCTTCGCAGGGGGAGGAAACATGCTGGTATGTGTGCTGTACTGCCAGCATCCCTCCTGCAGTGCTGATGCAAGAAAGCCTTAGCGGTCGGGCAACACAGAATCCCTCCTACTGTAACTGTGCTTTAAATGTACACAATACAATGACGGTTGTTTTCAGTGTTCCTACTCTCATAACTTCACTCCAGCCTCAGAATCCTGATGTGAGGGAGGTGGGCTGGGATCATTAAAACCACTGGACTCATTTATGGAGCCCAAGAACCAAAAGGAATCTATTGGTAAATAACAAGGAGGGTTATCACGATCCTTCACCCAGCCAAAGAGTTTGTTGCTCTTAGTGATTCCAAAGAAACTCAACAGTCACACTACAACGCCTGTTGCAGTTTTTGGTCTCTTGTTTGTTTCTTGTGTGGTGCCATAAGCTGGCCACATTGTGGTGCTGTTTGCTCTAGAAAGCCTTTGTCTGTAGCACTCAGTCACTCCCTTTTTCCTCTCTGCCTTGCAGTGTCATCATGACGGGCTCCTACAACAACTTCTTCAGGATGTTTGACCGAAACACCAAGCGTGATGTTACCCTTGAGGCCTCGAGGGAAAACAGCAAACCCCGAGCTATCCTAAAACCGCGCAAAGTGTGCGTGGGGGGCAAGCGGAGAAAAGACGAGATCAGTGTCGACAGTCTGGACTTTAGCAAAAAGATCTTGCATACAGCTTGGCATCCTTCAGAAAATATTATAGCAGTGGCGGCTACAAATAACCTATATATATTCCAGGACAAGGTTAACTAGGAGGACAAGTTATTACTTAATAATCTCACATACTGAGTACTAGTCAAACACGTTTTTAAATGTTTCTTTGGGTGTTCATTTGATGCATCGACTCTATAATTAATTTCCCTCTGCAGGAAACAAATGGAATAGAAGTCCATGGAGTCCAACCTTCCCAAGTCCCCAGTTCTAAGAAATTTTGTCAAACCCAACAGGTTCTGGGACACTTCTGTTTAGAATTGAGAGCTGCCAGCTAACGGTAATTCTTCCATAGCTGACTTGAATTTCTGATGCTTTTATTGCCCCGTTTTCTCTGGTGGGTCCAGTGTTTTGTTTCTAGGTGTCTGCTGAGATAAAATGAGGTTGTCTGTAGTATTTAAAGAGAAAAGAAAGAGATACTTTTTTTTTTTAAATTAAGCAACTCCATTTGCTGATTGAAAAAAAATTCAACGAAAAATAAACACCGTTTACTCTACTCTTAGAGAAATTCTCCTTGTTTTGTGAAAAATCAGAACCAGTCAGCATCTCCTGCCCCTACAGCACTTTTTTTTTTTTTTCCATTTTCCATTTTCTTTTTCACAATTTCATTTGAACCAGAGATTTATTTCACAAGCCTGCAAAGAGGATGCAGAATGGGAAGGGAAAGGGGCCACATCAACACTGCTATATTCTTTTCTTGTAAGCGCCATAGAACCAGCCTGAGAATTTGGCGAGGAAACACCATGAATGCTTCAGGGGACATAAAGAGAACACTTCGCTTCTCAGAGTTAACTTGGCAAGGCCATGTGCGGCCAGATTCCATCTGCAGCTTTGTTACTCTTGCTTTTTGTTGTTTTAAATGGCCCCATATAATCCCCTACTTACATGTTCCTTGGCTTTTTCCCTTCAACCTTTTCCAGCTTATTTATTCCACTGACTTCTTTCTAAAGGCCGAGTCCTGGTTGTTTATTATCTGGCATTCTAAATGCAACAGTAAGTTGGAGGCCATGGCAGCACCCCTGGCTCCCCGAGAAAGTGTCTCCAAAGCAGCCCCCTCCCCTCTTCCTGGGTTTTGTAACCAAAAGTAACAATCCATCAATCTCCACTGTAGCTAGAACAAAAATGGCCAATAAAAAAATGCTGCTCTGTAAAGGCTAATCAAGTGCTTCTAATCCACCCTAAGCTCACCATCTAGAACAGACCAGAGGGTCCTCCTCCTACAGAAATGGAATATGGGGGAATCGAGAAGCTTTGACATCAAAGTAGAGTCTGCTTGAAACTGGGGAGGCTGGTTCATCCCCCCTGGGCTCTCCCCCCCCCCCCCCCCCCCCCCCGTTGAGGATTCAGACATATAACTTCCAGAAGGTCTCCTATGACGCACCTCTGGGAAGGAGACTAAATGAATTCAAAAGACAGAGAAATTTGAAACAGAGGCTCAGGGAGGAGGTGGGAGGTACTCAAAGCCGGGCCTGGGCTCAGTGTCTCCATTCCTGTCACCGTGACTCATTTCCCCAGACTCGCATTTAGTGAAATGTCTTGACATGAGAATTTTCCTCTTAAAGAGAAATTTTCTTCCGCTTTGTATATTTGTAAGAAGTCCCAACGTTCGAGTGTGATTTGTTTTGGAAGAGGGAAAAATAGTGAAAGAACCGTCTTTCAATTCTAAGCTACTATCCATTATAATGACAGCTTTTCGGCAAGGAAATAACTACTTAAATGAACAATTTCGTAAGATGCGGCTCAATTTCAGAAACATTAAAATATGAACAAGTACATCTGAAAATTGGGGAAGCATGTGGATGAAGGCGTGCCTCCCTTCTCCGTATTTATCTTTCCTGCGATGAAAGCCCCAGTGGAAACTCTTGGGGCAGGATGCCTGGCCTGAGGGGGACAATGTTCTCAGAGGAGACCAAGAGAGCATCAGAAACTTGTCCAACTCACACAGAACTGTGGTTTCAAGATAGATAGAAGGGCCAGCCGGTTCCTGTCCTGAGTTGACCATCAACTTCCTGACAGCCTTTTCTCTGCTTCCCCAACACTCAGCCCTTCTGTCTGTACCAGCTGACAGGACAGATCATTGTTCCTCAGACTTAAGCATCGACCCACCTCTGTACTGTTGTTACTCATTTCACATTTATTAAGTCACCTTTTCTAAAAGCAAGACTTAGCCTCCTCCCTACAAAGAATACTCGTGAAATGTCAGTTTTAATGTTTTGTTCTAACATTAAAATGATCACATAACCATTCATGTAACAAACATGTACCCATTCACTACCTACAGGCATTTTGTGAACCCCAGGGCGCATGCTTACCGAACTTCGGGACACTGAGCTCTGATGCCACAGAACGTTTAAGCCTTGGGAGCCATCAGAGACTTGCCATGGGCAACGGTTCTTCACAGACTGGAGTCAAGAGTGCTCCCCAGAGCACATTTGTGAACAATTTTGGTCATGGCTTTAAGGGGTTCCCAGGCCCCCCCCACCATAGCCTACCTGTGGCCTCCATCTCAAAGCCCCTACACG